TATTATTGTTTGCTTTTTGTTTCTATTCTTTCCACCAAGCCAGGCTTCAGCAGCAGCAGCAGCAGCAGCAGCTGCAGCTGATTGAGCCTGGCTTGTTGGTGAGAATAGAAACAAAAAGCAAACAATAATAATTAAATAATAAACAATTAATAGTTTTTAATTCAAAATAATAATTTGCCCGGCATCTGAGGTGTACGTACACCCCAACTTGCACAGGCCGTCGGCGCCCCACACTTGCTGCTGGATGTGTCTTTTAGGTGAGAAGCGCTGCAGCAGCAAAAAGGAACTGAGACCACTGCTGCTGCTGCTGCTGCTGCTGCAGCTGCTTCGTGGTTGCTGCTGCTGCAGACACGAGGATGCTGCAGAAGAAACTCCTGGAGCTCTCGGTGCGGCCAATTCCCACTTCAAAACAAACCCCACAAACTCACACCCTCCTTGCTGCTGCTGCTGCTGCTGCTGCTGCTGCTGCTGCTGCTGCTGCAGATGCACACGAGGCGCTGCTTGGTTGTTGCGGTGGGCCTTTCTGCCGCTGCTGTTCTTCCGCTGAGTGTCTGGAGCCAATCTTTAGAAAGGCAAGAAAAGGAAATTTGATTTTAATTCTTTCTTAATCTTTTAAAAAGATTTGATTAATTCATTTAACGAGTAGAATTAATTAATTAATTAATTAAACAAATGGAATTAATTGATTAATTAATTAAACAAATGGATTTAATTAATTTTTGTTTTATTTCAATTTCAAACTCCGCCAGAATGGAAGTCGACGTTCTCTGCTGCCACTCCTTTGCTGCTGCAGGTACTGCTGAAGTCTTTGCAAACAAAAGAAGACAAATAAATGAATAAATAAATAAATAAATAAATAAATAATAAAACAATAAATACATTTAATGTAAATAAGTAAATAAATCAGAAAGGGCTTTTAAGTTCTGTCTTTGCAGCGGCTCTTCTCCTGGCTCTGCTCCAGCGGCTTCAAGGTAATTGTTTCAGTTTTTCGGATTTTCTTTTTTGCATGCAGCATTTGTTTTCATCTTCCGAGCTTTATTTTGCATTTTTAAATGTTTATTTTATTTTTTGGATTATTTTATTCTTTGAAATATTCCATTATTCAACTTTTTCGACCTGAAATTCACTTTGCATGCAGAAACCGCCTTCCCCGCCCCGCTGCCCATAACTTACTTGGCCTATCACCAGCTGCTTCAGTGAGAAAACGAAAAATGCAATAAAATACAATAAAAAAGAATTATTTGAATTTAAAATTGAAATAAATCTTTTGTGAATTATAATTCACCAAAACGAATCCGCAGACAGCCCGGCATGTGCGCGTACACCGCAGGTGTCTGTACAGCGCACTTGAAAGCCACCCAGAAGCTGCAGCCGCTCGACTGGCTCTGTGAAGGCTCAGTGAGTCACTTTTGTTTAAATTGAAATAATAAAATGAATTAAATTAATTTAAATTCATTTTGAAAATGAAACAACGAAGAAGGTCCATTTCTTCTCCACCCAAAGCGCCTCCGCGCAGCCGCGGCCAGACCACTGGCTCGCTCGCCGGCGCAGCCAGAATTAAGGGCTTAATCCCGCTCAATTTCTTTGAAATAAAAATAAATATAAAACAATTTGATAAAATTAACTTAAAAATAATTAAAACGATTAAAAAACAGAATTAAATTCACCTTATGCGAACGAGAAATTTTGTGGCCTGCAGAGGCTGAGCACGGCAGCGGCGAAGTACGCGAGGTGGGAAACGCATGCATGCTTTTATTTATTTCATTTCAACTATTTGTTTTCCCTTTATTTCGTTTTAAATCTATTTTTATTCATTTCTTTTTCTTTATTTCATTTTATTTTCCTCCAGAGAAAACCTCCACATCGAGGCCCCCCTCATCTCCCACTGGCGATTCCCATCCGCAGCCAAACAGGCTGCAGAGGCGGAGCCCCAGCAGCAACAGCAGCAGCAGCAGCAGCAACAGCAGCAGCAACAGCAGCAGCAGCAGCAAATTAGCTGAGCGTTGCGAGCTTTCGCCTGACGCTTTTTGTTTCTTTGTTAGTGTGTCTCTTCTTTAAACCTTTCAAATAAAATATGAGAAATCATATTATTTAATAATATTAAATAATATTAAATAATATTTAATAATATTTGATAATATTTGACATTTATATTTCTCTAAATATTAAATAATATGTATTTTAAATTTAATAGAAGTGGGGGCAGCAAAAAAAGAAAGTAAATAGTGACTGAGACAAAAAGGAATAAAAGCAAAAAGTTTATTATTGCAGTTCGTTCACACGCCCCCGCCTCCTCCAAACCCTAAACCCTAAACCCTAAACCCTAAACCCTAAAGACAAAGCAGTCAGCTGTATTTGTCTTTGCTGCTTTCATCATTTGATCCTGAAGAAAAGACAAAAACAGAAACACAAAAGAGGTTTTCTTTCCTCCCCCTTTCCTCCAGCCCTTTCGACTTCCGAGGGTTTAGGGTTTAGGGTTTAGGGTTTGTCTGACCCCGCTCCTTTTCCTGTGCGTCTAAAAGCCTCATTGTCCTAAACGCATGCAAAAGAAGACAAAAATAAATTAAATTTAAACTAAATTAAACTCTTTCAATAAAATTAAATTCTTTTGATAAAATTAAATTCTTTTGCAAACACCCGGCAGCACTTGAGCCTCTCGGGTGTATGTACACCTCAGCACACAGAAGAACGCCCCAAACGAAAAGCCCCTCGCTCAGCCGCAGCAGCAGCAAGAACAGCAGCAGCAGCAGCAAGAACAGCAGCAGCAGCAGCAAGAACAGCAGCAGCAGCAGCAGCAGGGGGGCGGCGCACCAGTTGAAGACGGCGAGGAAGGCGAGCAGCAGCAGCAAAAAGCCCGCAACTAAATTGAAAACAAAAGAATCTTCAAAAGCCAAATAAAACAAATAAAGACACAGCAGCAGCAAAACTATGCTGCTCATATTCACCACCTGCAGCACTTTCCCCCGACCACTTCCCAGCGCCAAGTCCAGCGCTTCGCTCAAACCCAGGGGGCCCCCCTCGGGGGGCCCCCCAGGGGCCCCCCCAGGGGGCCCCCCGGGGGGCCCCCCCGGGGGCCCCTTGGGGGGCCCCTCTGGGGGGCCCCCTGCTGGGTCTTGGTGTCTGCTGCGCTGCATGAGAAGGGGGAAAGGGTTTGTTTTGCTGCTGCTTTGGAGGGCCAAAGAAGTGGAGGGAAAAGCTGTTTGCTGCTGCGGTGGGGGCCCTGCTGGGGCTGTTCGGGTGTACGTACACCCGGTTTCAAGCCTGGAACCGAAGCCTGCGGGGAAAGCCGTCAGGTCATTTTAAATGAATTAAAAGAATTCAAATTCTTGTTGGAATAAAACAGGACAAAGAGAACAAGTGAAATGAGCAGTGGGGTACTGGGGGGGCCCCCAGGGGCCCCCCGGGTACCTCAGGGGCCTCGCTTGCATGCAGCCCCCAGTTTGCGGGTTTGTTCTTCTGTTTTTCCCTTCAGAGTCTCGAAAAGAGTAAAGTTTTATATTTGAAAGACAAATTTAATTCAATTTAAAAAAAACTGCAGTTTCGTTGGGTGCTTCGGGTGTGGCTGGCGGTGTTGCTGGGGTGTATGTACACCTGGCGTGTGCGCGCGCGCAGTCTGCGGCGGCTGCCTCCGGTTCATTTTTGTTCGTTTTCTGGGATTTTTCGTCTTTTTTCTCTTTGAAAGTGGAGAAATAAGTTTTAATTTTCTTTTATTTGTTCATTTTTTGAATTAACTCCGCAGAATGTCGCTGGACGAGGTGGAACACGCGGAATTCAAGTTTCTGCTGATTCCGTACGACATCGACAAGCCCGTGCAGGAGCTGATCTTCAAGGGAAAAGAAGCTTCTTTTCGAGATCTTTTGAAAACTCATTTAAATAATGAAAAAATTAATTGTTTAAATAAAAAAAACTTCGACAACTTCCGCCAAGAACTCAAAAAGAAGGCCGAGGGAAAGATCGACGACCAGGGCCTCGAGCGAGTCCTCCAGGGCTCCTCCCAGAACTACCAGGTAACTCCTGCTGCTGCTGCTGCTGCTGCTGCTGCTACTGCTGTTATTGTTTTCGTTGCTGTTGCTGCTGCTGGTGCGCCGCGGGGATTTCAGTTGGAGCCGCGGCTCTTGCTGCTGCTGCTGCGCCGCCCCCGCGCGCCCCCGCCAAACCCTAATCCCTAAACCCTAAACCCTAAACCCTGCTGCTGCTGCGCAGATAATCCCGCTGACGCTGCCGACGAAGGCCAACAATTTTAAAGGAATTAATGCTTACATCGACAGCGTCGGAAGAATTAAAGACATTCCCAAGAACGCCAGAGCTTCCCGCATCTGCTCCACAGGTGCTGCGGTGTATGTACACCTGCTGCTGCTGCTGCTGCTGCTGGTGTTTGTACACCTGCTGCTGCTGCTGCTGCGGCGGCGCCGGTGGACGCGCTGTTACAGCTTCGTCGCCGCAGCGCGGCTTCTTTTGCTGCTGCTGCTGTGCCCTCTGCTGCTGCTGCTGTGCGCTCTGCTGCTGCTGCTGTGCACCTAAGAATTGCTGCTGCTTCTGCTGCTCCTGCAAATCTATGAAGTGCTGCTGCTGCTGCTGCTGCTGCAGACCCGTGGGCTGCTGCTGCAACTGCTGCCACTTGCTCTAGCGGGCTCCAAGCCTCACCCCAGCTGCCGCTGCTGCTGCTGCCGCTGCTGCTGCTGCCGCTGCTGCTGCTGCAGACATTCGAGGCGACTGCTTCTTGTCTCTGGTTTATGACGATGAAGAAAAGTTTGAAAGACAAAATTTGACTTTGAAGGATTTCGAAGAACTTATGAAAAACCCCCCAGAGGCCACGGGCAGGTAACAAAATAAATAAATAAATAAATAAATAAATAAATAAACAATAAACAAATAAATAAATAATAATAAACAATAAATAAATAAATAAATAATGATAAGTAATTGAATGGCAAAGTTGTTGGTTTGCTGCTGCTGCTCATTTGCTGCTGCAGATGGAGCGAGACACAGGCAACGATGCAGCTGCTGCAGCAGCAGTCCGGGGCCGCCAAGCCTGAGGAGGGTGCGCGCAGCAGCAGCAGCAGCAGCAGCAACAGCAGCAGCAGCAGCAACAGCAGCAGCAATTGTAGTAATAGTGCCTTAATTCAAAAGTAGAATCAGAGGGCCTTCAGCAGCTGCAAAATAATAGTCCCAGAAATGCCAAAAGGACGCAGGCATGCGCAAGCAGCAGCAGCAGCAACAGCAGCAGCAGCAGCAGCAGCAGCAACAGCAGCAGCAGCAGCAGCAGCAGCATTTGGTTTGCGGAGAAGTATTTGCGTTTTGTTTTCAGCGCCGCGGAAGCCGAAGTGCGAAAACTGCGGAAAAGAGGTGGGAGTTTGGGGTGTACGTACAGCTGCTGGGGTGTACAGGCAGCTCCGGGGCCGCGGGCGTCGCCGGAAAGAGCAAATGGACCGGAAAAAAGGAAATAAAAAGCAAAAGAGTGGAAAATAAATAATTAATTTTGCATTTAATTCAAAATGGTGCATTATTTGTTTGTTTTTGCAATTCTTTTGCTTCCGCAGGACCTGCCGCTGAAGAAGTGCAGCAGGTGCAGCAAGTCGTTCTACTGCAGCGTGCAGTGCCAGCGAGAGGACTGGCCGCTGCACAAACGCATTTGTTCAATTTAATTATTTATTTATTTATTTATTTATTTCCATTTGAGTTCAAAGACTCAACACGGGGCAACGGGCGCAGCTGTAGGGGAAGTGGATCTGCTGCTGCTGCTGCTGCTGCAGCAGCAGCAACTGTCGCAGCAGCAGCTGCAGCAGTAACAGCAGCAGCTGCAGCGTGAACTGCAGCAGCAGCGGCAACTGCTGCAGCAGCAGCTGCAGCAGGAACAGCAGCAGCGGCAACTGTTGCAGTAGCAGCTGCAGCAGGGACTGCAGCAGCAGCGGCAACTGTTGCAGCAGCAGCTGCAGCAGGAACTGCAGCAGCAGCAGGAACTGTTGCAGCAGCAGCAGGAACTTCTGCAGCAGCAGCTGCAGCTGCAACTGCAGCAGCAGCAGGAACTGTTGCAGCAGCTGCTGCGGACTATTAATTTGAATTAATTACTATTTGGTGTTATCAGCCCAAGTCCAGTTCTTTCAAAGAAAGAAAATACAAGAGTCCAGCTGGCAGCAAACAAACGGATCTGCTGTTGCTGTTGCTGCTGCTGTTGCTGCTGCTGCTGCTGTTGCTGCTGCTGGGTCTAGTTATAGCGGCAACAGCTCCACCAGCCGCAGCGCCAGCGACTTCAGCGACCGCTGCTGAGGCAGCTGCAGCAGCAACACCACCAGCAGCAAAGCTAGCAGCAAGAGCAGCGGCTGCTGCTGCTGTTGCTGCTGCTGCTGCTGCGTGTTGGAAGCTAGGAAGAGAAGCAGAGAAAGCGCTCGACTACAACAGACCACCAGGTATCCGAGCTTAAGTAACGAATCGCAACAATGCTGCTGCTGCTGCTGCTGCTGCAGCTGCTGCTGCTGCTGCTGCCGCTGCTGCTGCAGCTGCTGCTGCTGCAGCTGCTGCTGCTGCTGCTGCCGCTGCTGCTGCTGCTGCTGCTGAAGCTGCTGCTGAAGCTGCTGCTGCTGCTGCTGCTGCTGCTGCTGCTGGGAGCCATTAGGGGCCCGCTGGCTCCGTCTTTTGCTGAGGGTTTATTTTGACTTTTGCCTTTTAATTAAATATTTAAAAAGTCTTTTTCAATTCTTTTCTTTTCATTGTTTTCAAAAACCATTTTGCTCCTCCCAGTGCTGCTTAGCTGTTGTTGCCTGCTGCAGCAAAAGCAGCTTGCTGCTGCAGACTCGCGGGGGAGTTCACGCTGCAGAACAAACAGCAAAACAATTAAAGGTAAATAAACTAGAAAGAAGCAGCAGCAGCAGCAGCAAAAGGAGACATTAAACAGTAGCAGCAGCAGCAGCAAGGGGAGAAATTAAACAGTAGCAGCAACAGCAGCGAAATGAGAAGTTAAACAGTAGCAGCAGCAGCGGCAGCGGCAGCCGAAGCAGCAGCAGCAATTGAAGCAGCAGCAGCAGCAGCAGCAGCAGCAAAAGCACTAGCTCACCCCAACAGCGCCTGCAGCTGCGTCTTGAAGAGAAGCATGCTGAGCATGAAGACAGCAGAAGTGCTGCAGAGGGGGGGCCCTGGTGCAGCAGCAGCAGCAGCTGCTGCTGCAGCTGCGGGGTCTGCTGCTGCAGCGGGGTCTGCTGCTGCTGCTGCTGCTGCGGGGTCTGCTGCTGCTGCACTGGAGTGCTGAAACATCGAAAGGGGAAAGAAAAGAGGAAATGGACTTATTGCTCCTGGAGATCCTCCGAAGTAAGAATGAACAGCAGGCATCAGCAGCAGCAGCAGCAAACCAATGCCCATGTACCCTTTTTGCTTCAGCGCGTTCATCGCCCTGCAGCAGCAGCAGCAGCAGCAGCAGCAGCAGCGGGGACAGCCGCAGGCGTGAGAAGAACGGGAAAGAGGCAAATGAAGAGCAGCACTCAAAAGAATAACAAAGAACTTCAAAAGAAAATGAAGATAAAATAAAATAAAATAAAATAAAATAAAAAATAAATTGCGAGGCGAAGGAGAAGCAAGACACTCGGATAAGCACAGGGCGCAGCAAGAGCAGCAGCAGCAGCTGCTGCTGCTGCTGCTGCAGCAGCAGCAGCACCGCAGCAGCAGAGGAAGCAGGCTGAAGCTGGCGAAAAGTGGGTTTAAATGGGTCGAATAAAAACGGGATAAAAGGAGAATAAACGAGAAATGAAAAGAAGCAAATAAAAGAATTAAAAAGAATCAAAAAGAATCAAAAAGGAATAAAAAGAATTTAAAAAATTAAAAATAAAAACTCGAACTTTGTCTTCTTTTGAATTTTCGTCTGCAGCGCTGTGGCCGCCCGCCCCGCCCGCCCCGCGTAGCGGCCCTCAGCGCCTGCTGCGCATTCTCCCTCAATTGCTGCAGCAGCAGCAGCAGCAGCAGCAAATAAATAAACGAATAAATGAATAGATAAATAGATAATGATTGTTATTTATTAATGGCAGGGGGGGGAGAGAAAAGAGGATTCGAAAGCGCCTTGTTCCAGCTGCTGGGGAGGCATGCTCCCCCCAGCAGCAGCAGCAGCAGCAGCAGCAGCAGCAAATAGCAGCAGCAGCAGCAAAGGGAGCAGCAGCGGCAAATAGCACCAGCAGCGGCAGCCGCAGCGCCTGAATTAGTAGCAGCAGCAACAACAGCAAAAAGCCGCAGCAGCAACAGCGAAACCGCAGCAGCGGAAGCAGCAGCAAACAAACAGCAGCAGCAGGCACGAAAACACCACCAGCAGCAGCACGAGCAGCAGCAGCAACACTCCCAGCAACAGCAGCAACAGCACACAGAGCAACAGCAGCAGCATCTTCAGCAATCAGCACCCCCATCACCACCGGCAGCAGCAGCAGCAGCAGCAGGCCCGCAATTGGCAGCAGCAACAGCAGCAGCAGGCCCGAAATCGGCAGCAGCAGCAGCAGCAGCAGGCCCGAAATTGGCAGCAGCAGCAGCAGCAGCAGCAGGGCGCACCGTAGAACTCCCTCCAGAGTTTGCTGCTTTCGTCTCGGAGCTTTTTGAATTCTTCTTTTGAATAAACCAAAAAGTAGCAAATTGTTTCTCCCAAGCCCGCCATCAAGCAGCCAGTGAGCACCAGCAGCAAAGTGGTGCCCGGCGAAGGCAAAGGATCCTCCATCCTGCTGCTGCTGCTGCAGTTGCTGCTGCTGCTGCTGTTGCTGCTGCTGCTGCTGGGTTGCGTGGTGTTGCGGGAGGGAGGGAGGCGCTCGGCGTGTAGCGCCTGCGGCTCTGGTGGGGGGACAGCTGCTGCTGCTGCTGCTGCAGACGCTGCTGCTGCTGCTGCTGCTGCTGCTGCTGCTGCTGCTGTTGCTGCTGCTGCTGCGACGGCAACAGCAGCAGCAGGGGTGGAAGAAAAGCCAGGGGAGCTTCGCAAAGGCCCGGAATCTCTTAAGAAAGAAATTAATAAAAAAGAAAAATGAAAAGAAAAAGAAAACCCCGAAGTAGACTCAGGTGTACGTACACCTCAAAGCCAACGAGAGCAGCTGTGTCAGTTGTGGACGCTGCTGTGTATAGGCAGCTCCTGCAGCAGCAAGCCAAAAGGAAAGATTTTGAATTAATTAACACTTAAATAAAGTAGAAAATGGTAAAAGACATTTGAATAATTAAAGCAGCAGCAGCAGCAGCAGCAACGAGGCTGCAGCTGCTGCAGCAGCAGCAGCCGCCGCAGCAGCAGCAGCGGCTGCTGCTGCTGCCCCTGCATGCGGGGCCCTGCTGCTCTCGAAACCTTTTCCTGCAGCTTTTAAATTGTTATTTATTTACTTTAGGGACTTTTATATAATCCTTTTGGCTAGGCTGGCAGCTGCCGCTACTGCTGCCGCTGTTGCTGCTGCCGCTGCGGCCGCTACTGTTGCTGCTGCCGCTGCAGCAGCAAACCAGCATTTAGGGATAGAAGCAGCAGCAGCTGCTGCAGCCGCAAAACCAGCAACACTAAAATCAGGGATTGCAGCAGCTCTTCTACAGAAGCAGCAGCAGCAGCAACAGCCACAGCAGCACCAGCAGCAGCAGCAGCAGCAGTAGCAGCAGTAATGTCGCTCGTTGCTGCAGCCCCAAGAGGGGCCGATTCAACAGCTATCGCACCGGCGAAGCAAGAACAGGATGTATGCCAACCCCAAACCCTAAACCCTAAACCCTAAACCCTAAACCCTTCTCAGCAGCAATTCAAAACCCTAGGCTTGGGCCTGAAGCAAACCCTAGTGCTGCTGCCAAACTCCAAAGCCTCAGGCTTCACCCTAAACCCTAAACCCTAAACCCTCGGTAAACCCTAACGCCGAAGTCCTAGTCTTGGGGGCCTGGGGTTTAGGGTTTAGGGTTTAGGGTTTAGATTCAAAGTTAGGGCTTAGGGTTTTTCTGCTGCAGGCTATAGAGAGGACTTCAAACCTCGAGGCCCCGACGCTTCGCCTCACTGGGCACACAGTAAGTAAACAGCAGCAGCAGCAGCAGCAGCAACAGCAGCAGCAGCCGTTGCTGCTGCTGCTGTTGCTGCTGCTTCGATCCCGTTGCTGCTGCAAGCCGCCATGCCGCCCCATCCCTGCTGCTGCTGCTGCTGCTCTCTGTGCAGCTCGATTCCCGCTGCTGCTGCCGCTGCAGCTCTCCCTGCAGCTTTACTCCCGCTGCTGCTGCTGCTACTGCTGCTGCTGCTGCTGCTGCTGCTGCTGCTGCTGCTGCTGCAGGGGGAGTTGTATGCTGTTCGCTTTTCTGCTGACGGCCGAAATGTGGCAACAGCTGGAGCGGATAGAACTGTCTGTGAGAAATAAATAATAAACTAAATAAATAGATAAATAAATAAATAATATATAATAAATAATAATAAATAAATAAATAAATAAACAAATAAATAAATAAATAAAAATAAATGAAATAATAATTAGTTAATTTGCTTTTGGTTGCTGCTGCTGCTGCTGCTGCTGCTGGCAGCAACTTATCTGTTTTGAAACCGTTTTTTCTGGTGTAAAAGCGCCGTTAACGAAGCAGCAAACAAACAACTAATTAATTAAACAATTAAACAATTATTTATTTATTTATTTATTTATTTATTTATTTATTTGTTTGTTTGTTTTAGTGATTTATAATGTCTACGGAGAGCCCCGCAGCTGGGTGCAGCTGCGGGGCCACAAAAGCGCCATTCTCGACTTGGCCTGGAACGACGACAGCACGTGAGCCAAACCCTAAACCCTAAACCCTAAACCCTAAACCCTAAACCCTAGGCCCCAGGCCCTAGGCCCTGAGCTGCAGGCGAGGCGGGCGCGGAGGGCCTGGGCGTGGGGGCTTGGTGGCTGCAGCAGCAGCTGCTGCGCTGCGGCAGCAGCAGCAGCGCGGGCTTCGCCGCTGCAGCAGCAGCAGCAGCAGCAGCAGCAGGGGCGTGTTGCGCAGGCGTCTGTACACCGCAAGTGCGGACGAAAGTCTGGCCATTTGGGACTTGGAAACTGGAGAAAGAATTCGGAAATTAAAAGGACATTTGTCAGTTGTGAATGCAATAAGTGTTTTTGGATTGCGGACAACTTCTCCAGTTCCGGTGTACGGACACGCTGCTGCTGCTGCTGCTGCAGCGGGCGCCGCCCCAGCAGCAGCAGCAGCAGCAGCAGCAGCAGCAGCAGCAGCAGACGCCGCCCCCGCGCTCCGCGACGCCGCCGAACCCGACCCCGACGCCCGCCCCCCCCCCAGCAGCAGCAGCAGCAGCAGCAGCAGCAGCAGCAGCAGCAGCAGCAGCAAAAGCTACTTCTTCTCCACAGGCAGCAGCAGCTACAGCACGAAGCAGCTGCTGGCTTCTGGGGGCGATGATGGCACTGCGAGGGTTTGGGACTTGAGGGTTCGCAAGTGCGTCCTCAAGGCCCAGCACCACTACCAGGTAAACCCTAAACCCTAAACCCTAAGCCCTAAACCCTAAACCCTAGGAATCGCCAAACCGCGAACCCTGGAAAACCCTAAACCCTAAACCCTAGAAAGCCCTGGGCGCTAAACCCTAGACATCCCTAAACTGCTCTTCAGGGGGAAGAGAAGGACGGCAGGAGAGGCTGGTGTCTTGCGGAAAGCTGGAGTTTAGGGTTTAGGGTTTAGGGTTTAGGGTTTAGGGTTTAGGGTTTGGGGTTTGTGGTGGCAGATTCTGTCTGTGGCGCTGGACGGCGTGGGGTGCCGCGTGTTTGCGGGGTCTCTGGACAACACAATCCAAGTAGGGTTCAGGGTTTAGGGTTTAGGGTTTAGGGTTTAGGGTTTAGGGTTTGGGGGCGTATCTCCGCGAGTTTGGGGAGTTGGGAGCTGGTTTTTTGCGGGACGCGGGTCTGGGAGAGCGCTTTGGAGGTTGGAAACGGAAAGAGCAGCTTTTGAAATGCATTTTGCAAAAAAAAGATCTCCAAAACTCCTTTTTTTCAGGAATTTGACCTCCGCAGCGGCATGCGCCCCTCCGCCGTCCTCGAGGGCCACCTCGACTCCGTCACTGGGCTGGACATACACCCCGACGGCACCCACCTGCTCAGCAACGGCATGGACCACACGGTGCTGCTGCTGCTGCTGCTGCTGCTGCTGCTGCTGCTGCTGCTGCTGCTGCTGCTGCTGCTGCTGCTGCTGCTGCTGCTGCTGCTGCTGCTGCTGCTGCTGCTGCTGCTGCCGCTGCTGCTGCTGTGCTACAGTGCTGCAGTGCTGCAGTGCTGCTGCGGAAGTGATGCTGCGATGCTGCTGCAGTGCTGCTGCGGAAGCGGTGCCGCAGTGCTGCTGCGGAAGGGATGCTGCAACGCTGCTGCTGCAGTGCTGCTGCTGCTGCTGCAATGCTGCTGATGCGGTGCTGTTGGTGCTGCTGATGCGGCAGTGCTGCTGCTGCAGTGCTGTTGCTGTTGTTGTTGCTGTTGCTTTTCCGTTATTCTGTTGTTGCCGCTGCTGCTCTTGGTGCTACTGGTGCTGCTATTGCTGCTGCTGCGTCTGCTGCTCTTGTCGCTGTCGCTGCTCTTGTTGCTGCTGCTGCTGTTTCTGTTCTTGTTGCTGCCGCTGCTGTTTTTTCTGATGCTGCTATCGCTGCTATTGCTGCTGAATGTGCTGCTGCGGTCATCGCTTGTGGAATGCTGCTCTTGCTGTGCTGCTGCTGCTGCTGCTGCTGCTGCTGCTGTAGGTTCGTTTATGGGATGTGCAGCCTTTTCTGGCGGGGCAGAAGAGACAAAAGGCAGTTCTGAGAGGGGCCATGGTGCGCTTGCTGCTGCTGCTCTTGCTGCTGCAGCATTTGCTGCTGCTGCTTCTGCTCTTGCTGCTGCAATTTTTCGCTGCTGCTATTCGTGTTCTGTTGCTGCTGGTGCATTTGCAGCTGCAGTTGTTCATGCTGCTGCGGCAATTGCTGCTGCAGCTGTGGGTGATGCAGTTGCTGTTGGGATCGCTTCACTTGCTGCTGCTGCCACACTTGCTGTTTGCTGCTGCTGCTGCTGCTGCACTTGCTGCTGCTGCTGCTGCTGCTGCTGTGCCTCAGCACAACTTTGAGAAGCAGCTGCTACGGGTGCACTTTAGCTGCGACGGCAGCTACGCCGTTGCAGGCTCTTCAGACCGCTGCGTTTGCATTTGGGATTTGGAGACAATTGGCAGCAGCAACAGCAGCAGCAGCAGCAGCACGAAGCAGCTGATTTATCGCCTGCCAGGCCACACAGGATCGGTTAACGATGTAAGGGTTGCTGCTGCTGCTGCTGCTGCTGCTGTTACTGGCGTTGCTGCGTTACTTCTGCGCGGCTACTGCTGCTGCTATTGCTGCTGCAACTACTACTGCTGCGTTGCTGCTGCTGCTGCTGCTGCTGCATCTTGGGCTTTTATTTTAGCGGCTTCTTCGCATTTTAGAGTTTTAATTGGATTAAAGGATTTAATTCAAATAATTAAATTAAATTAATTAAATTAAATTAAATTAAAATAAATTGCGCTCTGAATTAGGCTCATCTGCACCCGCTGGAGCCCATTGTGGCTTCGGCCAGCTCTGACAAGACCTGCCTCATGGGGGAGCTTTCTTAGCAGCTTTTTGGGATTTTTGGAATTAAATTCTTCAATTATTTGTCAAATTGAAGAATTAAAAGTAATTAAATCTTCAATTGCTTTTATTTCCACTTAGTTTCGCGTTTGCTGCTGCTTTCCCGCTGCTGCTGCTGCGCGCCGCTGCTGCTGCTGCGCGCCGCTGCTGCTGCTGCGCTTCGCGCACTCGCGCGAGCTGCTGCTGCTGCTGGGGAATTAAAACAAAGGATTAATAAGGAATAAATAATAAATAAATATTATTTATTGTTTATTTGTTTGTTTATTTTAAATCGCAAGTTATAAATGAATGCAAGTGGACCGCACTGCGCGTTTCGTAAGCCACCCATGCCCCAGGTGTCTGTACACCTGCAGCAGCAGCAGCAGCAGCAACAGCAGCAGCGGCAGCAGCTGCTGCTGCTGCTGCTTCCTATACTGCTTTTTCTTTTGAATTGCTTGTGTCTTTTTGCTGTTATAAAAAAGATAAAAGATATTTATTTGCATTTAATTGGATTTCTTTTGTTCTTTTGTTTCTTTCTTTTTCTCTTTTCCATCTTTTCGGCTTTCCGCAAAAAAAGTAAAAAATAAAAATTTATTTTCTGAAGAAGCAGCAAAAAGGCATTTGTGGCATTCCGAGACAATTCAGAATAAAAATAAAAACAAAAATAAAGACAAATAAAATAAAGGAAAATGATAATTAAAATAAATAATAAATAAACAATTTAAATTTCCATCTGCTGCATTTATTCGAATTGTTTCGACAATGAAAAGAAATAAAATAAAATAAAATTAATTTTTAATCTTATATTTACTGCCAGTAAAAAAAAATTAAAAAAATTAAGTTTAATTTCATTTTTGCTGCTTTTTTTTACTGCTCCCAGTGTATGTACAGCTCTGCTTCTCCCTTCCTCGAATTAAATTTTCTTTTTTCCTCAACTACTAATTTGCTTCCAATTCTTTTTCATTTAAAAGCAGCAGCAGCAGCAGCAGCAGCAGAAGTGCAGCTAGAGAGCAGCTGGGGGCCCCCAGGAGGGCACAGGGGGCCCCCAAAGAGGGTGTGGGGCCCCACAGCAGAATTGGGGGCCCCTTTAGAATTAAATCCCCTAACTTTGCTGCGGGGGCCCCCCAGGGGGCCCCCAAAGGGGCCCCTCAGCAGCAAAAAGGGTCTTTTAGAAGTTATTAGAGTAGTTTTGTTATTTATTTTTAGACTTTTTGACTTCTAATAAATGCGAATATATTTAACTTTCAATAAATGCAAGTGTACCTTTTTGGGGGCCCTAAACAATCAAGTTTAGGGGGGCCCGCCGTCTGCTGCTGCAGCAGCAGCTGCTGCTGCAGCAGCAGCAACAGCTGCAGCACCTGCAGCAGGTGCAGCTGGTGTAGCTTCTCACTTTGGGGCATTCTCCGGTGGAGCAGCTGCAGGTTTGCTGCTGCTCTTTTTTTATTTACATTTCAACTAAAAAGGTTTATTATTTTAAAAGATTTATTATTTAAAAGATTTATTTCTCCTCTTTAAATAAAAGAGAAGAAATAAAGGAGCAAATGGAGCAGCAAAACCCACGGAGGAAGCCTTGGGGGGGAATGTGGTAAATGCGTTGGCGTTGAGGGTTTAGGGTTTAGGGTTTAGGGTTTAGGGTTTAGGGTTTGCAACGCCAGAAGTCCTCGCTTTTCCTTCTTTTGAACTTAAAATAAAACAAAAAAGAAATAAAAACAAAATAAAATTAAAATAAATAAAAGTAAAATGAAATGCAGCGACAAGAAGAAATAAATGCTGCTGCGCGGGGTTGAGGCGTGACCTTGCGGCTGCTGCAGCAGCAGCAGCAGCAACAGCGGCGCGTGGCTGTTGTGGCCGGGAAAGCTCTTTCAAAAGCCATTTAAATGAGAAGTTTGGAATTTATTTTAAATTTTGTTTTTTAAAAACCTTTTTAATCGAAAATTCGCCGAAAATTAAAAGAAAAGCCAACGCCGCACCTGGAGGCTGCTCTGTCAGGTGTACATACACCCCAATATCTCAGAAGTACCAAAAGGGCCTGCAGCAGCAGCAGCAGCAGCAGCAGCAGATGCTGCTGCTGCTGCTGTTGCTGCCACTGCTGCTGTAGCTGGTCTTACTGCAGCAAGTGCAGAGGAGCAGCAGCGGCTGCTGCTGCACACTGTATGTATGAACGGGCGGCATGGACCTTCTCCAGCAGCAAACTGCTGGTGCTGCTGCTGCCGCTGCTGCTGCTGCTGCTGCTGCTGCTGCTGCTGAAGCTAGCAAACATATTTATTAATCTAAACTTAAGTTTAACAATGCAAAAGTATTGAGATAAAAGGGGCAGCCATAGCGGAGCGTTTGTTGCTGTTGCTGCTGCCTCGGTCCTGCTGCTGCTGCTGCTGCTGCTGCTGCTGCTGCTGCTGCTGCTGCTGCTGCTGCTGCTGCAGTGGCTTCACTAGGCCCTGAGGCGGCTGCGGAGACACCCCAGCCGCGCGCAACTCTCTTTGCCTTATGTCATTTTCATATTTTGAGTTAAGAGACTGGCAGGTAAATTAGTATAGATATATTAGCAGCAGCAGCAGCAGCAACAGCAGCGAGCCCCCTGCAGCAGCGACAGCCGCGAGGCCCCAGCAGCAGCGCCAAGGCCCCAGCGGCAGCAGCAGCAGCAGCTTTTGGGGGAAACGCATTTTTATAGGTGAGACTGCAGCAGCAGCAGCAGCAACAAGCACTGCTGTGGCCCCCGAAGCAGCAGCAGCAACA